CAGAAGCGTGTAAATAATGTGCTATTTCCATGAAAAAAAGGAAGAAAATAAGGACAAATATTCATGGTTTTTTGAATTTGCATAAAACATTGGAAGGATGTGCAAGAAATTAATAAAAAGGGTTACATAAGACAGAAACCAGTGTAGATAGAGATAGGGAGGAGGAAGACGCCTCACTGTGAGCCTTTTAAATATCATTTAGTCTTCGAACCACATGACTAAAGTAACTATTCAAAATATAAAGTTACATTAAAAAGTATCTTTACCCAAATGACTTGAAAACTTATACCTACACAAAAACTTGAACAAAAATGCTTATAGCAGCTTTATTCAAATTGCCAAACCTTGGAAACAACCAAGATGTCTTTCAACAGGTGAATGGGTAAATAAACTGTGGTACATACATCTAGAACAATGAAATATTACTCAGAAATAAAAATATATATGTGTGTGTGTTACCAAGCCTGGAAAAGACTTGGAGGAAATCTAGATTCATATTGTTAAGTGAAAGAAGCCAGTCAGAAAAGGCTACATACTGTACAATTCCAACAATGTGACATTTTGGAAAAAAACAAAACTATGGAGACAGTTAAAAGATCAGTAGTTGCCAGGCATGGTGGGGTGGGGTAGGGATGCAGAGGCAGAGCACAGAGGATTTTTAGAGCAGTAAAAGTATCCTCTGTGATAATGTAGTGGTGGATACATGTCACTGCACATGTGTCGAAACCCATAGAATATACAACACAAAGAGTGTAAACTATGGACTTGAATTAATAACAATGTATCGATCCTCGCTCATCAATTGTAACAAACATACCACACTAGTGAGGAAGTTAATAGGAGGGGAAGCTGGGAGGTGAGGGGTATATGGGAACCCTCTGTACTTTCTGTTCATTTTTCTGTAAACATAGCACTGCTCTAAAAATAGTCTATTTGTTTAAAAAAGAAAAGGAAAGAATGAGAAGAAAAGGAAGGAAAAGTGAGCAGGATGCATAGGGAAGAGTTCTAAATGGCATACAAATCAGCCTGGACTCTCATCCTGTTAACAAAACCAAGCATTTCTCAACAAGGGAGCTGTGTTTTGGAGAGAAAATTCTAGTAATCCTGCAAAGAGAGGAATCTAAGAGAAAGAGACCCAGGACCAATAAGAGTATAGCAGAAGGGAGATGGGGTGGGCCAAATGAGATGGGGCAGTGGAGAGGAGATGGGGACACAGGAGAGGAAGCACCAGGACTCAGTGACAGCTGTCCCTGTGCATCTGCGGATGGGTGGGAAAATGAGGGTCAACGTTTCCCCTGGTTTCTAGTGTAAACTGTGTGGCAGACGATGGTGCTATTGGAGCAACAGGGACCAATGAAATGCGTGGAATGAATTTGGTTTTTAATCTCTGAGGTTATTTTACCTGTAGAATATGCATGTGGAAATGTACAAGAGGCAGCTTAAAACACAGGTCTCAGAATCAGAAAAGAGGTCAGGGCTTGCTTAGAGTCTATTTATAGTACCTATCAAATTGTACTTATTTATACAAGGGGACATTTTTTTTATTCAAAATACTTTACCATTTATTTCTACATATTTGTAGGGTACAGGGTGTTGTTTCAATAAATGCATAGACTTCACAATGATTCACTTAAGGTAGATAGCATAGTTTTGCACCCATTAGTCCACCACTTCTCCTCCTCCCCCCCCATCCCCAGCCCATGGTCTCTGGTAACCATAATTCTACTCTCCACTTCTATGAGAACCACTTTTTTTTTTTTTAATATTCTGCATACGAGTAATATCATTCAGTATTTGTCTTTTTGTGCCTAACTTACTTCATACATGATGGTTTCCGGTTCCATCCATGTTGCTGCGAATGATAGGTTATCATTTTTTTTTTATAGCTGAGTGGTACCCCATGGTATATATATACACCACAGGGGATTTTTGTTGTTGTTGTTGTTGTTTTTTATCCATTCATCCATTAATAGACATGTAGGCTAATTCCATCTTGTGACTATTGTGAATAGCAAGGGGACATGATTTAACCTACGGTGTATCTGAGTAATAATATACCCAGGGTTAACTAATAAAAGGAATCTAGCCTATTTCCTAAAATGATTATAACCATGAGAGTAAAATACTAAGAGGTATTTAGCCTATCCCCCCAAAAGAAACAAATTTTTCTGAAATATTTATTTCAGACATATTTATAAATGGCATTTGTAAGATATTGTAGAGCTTATGGCTACTTAACGAATTACCCCAAAATTTCGTGGTATAAAACAACCATTTCCGATAGGTCAGGAATTTGGACAGTGAATTGCAGGTATGGTATGTCTCCACTCCAGTGTCTCGGGCCTGGAATCATCTGAAAGTTCATTCGTTCGCATGTCTGGCAGTTAACACTGGCTGTCGGGAGACCTGGGTTCTTTCTGCATGAGAGCTAGTTTGGGTTCCTCCCAGCATGAAGGATGCCTGGGTTCTTAGGGCTAGAGTCCCAAGACAGAGAAAAACAGGCAGAAACTGTATCCTTTTATGACCCAGCCGTGGGAGTCACATAGCATCGGGAGGAGTGTCTTTCACACTGTAAGAAGTGCACGTGGGATGGGATTTGGTGCAGCCACCTTTGGGAATTTAAATCTGCCCACGTAAAAATCAAAGTATTATTTCAGTTTGTCCCTCAAGGACAAACGATAGAAATATTGACGGAAGACAGACAGGGAAGGTCACAAACAACTCAAACCAGCAAACTTCATCTATAGAGTCCACTCTGTTCCAGAAAAAGAGAGAAACACTCCGACCCAAATGACATGGATTTTCATGCACTGATGAATACCCATTTAAAATCTAACACACTCACGAGAGAACCTAGCACTCTTCTTCATTGCTATGAAAGGAAAGTTCCACTGAAGCTTAGGGGCTGAACCCAAATGACATGGATTTTCATGCACTGATGAATACCCATTTAAAATCTAACACACTCACCAGAGAACCTAGCACTCTTCTTCATTGCTATGAAAGGAAAGTTCCACTGAAGCTTAGGGGCTGGGATTAAGTTCGTGGCTCAACATGAAAGGCAAGTGTTTCTGGTGAAAGTCCCGTAGGAGATAGTCTGCCACTGCCCAGTACTCAAACAGCCCATGCCAAGTCATGCTCACATCTGCCTGTTCATTTCAGTGCCTTTGTTAAATTTATCTAAAATAAGCACCTCCTCATAGAGTTCTATTGCTGTTTGGTGCTGATTAGTGATTTTACAGGATTAAAACAAGTGATTAAACATTCAGATAAGAAAATAAAATACACATTGATGAATACCTACTTAAAACTGAACATGACCACCAGAAAAATCCATTTATTTTGTAAGCCACAGAACACCAAAGAGTAAAGGTTATGTCACTGGAAAGAACCTGTTCATCTACCAGCCCCAATTTTTTTCCCCCAAATCCTTCATCCTTTAGCAAACAAGTACCATTTAAATACACACAGAGTTAAATAAATATACCATAACCAAGAAGGTTATTCCATGAATGCAAAGATTGTTCACTTTGTCATATAAATAGAAAAAAATTAACTGATTGTCTCCATAATCACTGAAAAGACCTTCTGCAAAGTTTAACACCTATTTCTAATTTGTTTTTTAAGATACTCAAAATAGGAACTCATGTATACTTTTTAACTGGATAAAATTATATAAATCTCAGTCCCAAAGTCAGCTTGCTACTTACTGGGGAAGCACTAGAGGCAGCCCCACTCAGGTCAGACACAAAGGCAAAGATACCCGCTATCTCTACTACTACTTAATTTAACATTGAATCCAAGATATAAGCCAAAGCAATCAGATAAGAAAATAATCAGAGATAAAGACAAATCAAACTGTCTCTCTTTCCAGGTGATATAGCAATATACCTGAAAACCCCAAGAGAATCAATGATGAAAGCTGACACAACCAATAAAAGAATTTAGTAAAACAGTAGAATGTAAAATGAACACAAAATTGCTGTCATCAAAGTCTGACAACACTCTTTGGGAATATGGAGAAACAGGCATGGTCACACATTGGTGGTGGGAATGCAAAATGGTATACCACCTATAGAAGAAAATTTGACAATATCTAAAAATATTACATATTTATTTACCTTGTGACCCAGCAATCCCATTTCTGGGCATCTACCCCAAAGGAATAATTACAAAAACAAGTGTTTTCTAAAGCACTCAAACAGAAATTAATGGATAGTTTTTTAACATGATGAAAATATATAAACTGAGACAAGACACTACAACAGACGAATAAAGCTATTATTCACTTCGGCACTATTTATAATAACAAAAGACTGAAAAACAGCCCAAATATCCAGCAGCAATATGGGACTGATTAATCTGTGATACGTCCATATAGTAGAACACTGCGCAGCTATAAATGAGGAATGAGGAACACCTGCATATACTGTATGGAGTGACTTCAAGATATGTTTTTAGTTGAAAAGCAAAGTGGAGAAAAGTATACGTGACATGCTACCTTTAATCTAAGAAAGAAGAAAAGGGACTAGGGTGAATATGCATATGTGTGTATGTGTTTATGTGTGTGTGTGTAATTTATTACATATAAGGGAACTTCAAAAAGTTCATGGAAAGATTTGTATTATGTTTCCATTCTATTTCTCCATGAACTTTTTGAAGTACCTTCATTAATAACATAATTTTTTAAATGGAAGCATGAACCAAACAACTTACAAAACATGGTTACCTATAGGGGGAAAAAAAACCTTGCCTTGTAGATTTGATTTTGGAACCATGTAAATATTTTACTTAATTATAAAACAAGGGCCATAGCAGTGAACATAGAATTCCCCATGTAACTTTGTTTTTAAGGCTATGAGCAAACCTGAATAGAAACAGGAATCAGCAGAACCAGCATGACAGTTCTGAGTACTGAGCAGGCTTCCAAGAAAGAGGTGACAGTGTGCAAAGCCAGAGAAAGAGAAGTGACAACCCACAGAATGCAATGCGTGACTTACCTCCACCTTGCTCTCAGGGTCATGATCAGCAGCCGAGAAATACACAACCTCCTGCACTTCATCTCTGGGCCGGGCTGAGTTTTTCCCAAATACCACCAGACCGTCCTTAGCACGCGGCGGGAAGGCCACAAAACAGTAACTTGGAGGAGCTACAGCCATCCTGAAAAGATAATACCAATGAGAGAGGGGAAGCGGGCCTGACATGGAACATTCCAGCAGCAAGCTCTTCAAGCATATTTCACCAGCTAAAATAGGTTTACTACTCAACTGTGTGCAGCTAGCTCATTACGAGATCCCAGCTGGCAAATGAAGGTGGGCGCCTGGAGTAAAATTAGAGAGCCACCGAGACCAGATATTGGTTAGTACTCTGTGGGATTAAATGAGCTCAGATTGGCAACAAACCGCAGTGGCAGCCAAAAGTGCAGTGATGCAGGAGAAAGGAAAGGAGGTTATTGTTCCAGGCAGAACGCGCGCACACACACACACACACACACACACACACACTGCAATCTGTCACAGTAATAAAATAATAAACAAGTATACCTTGTAACTGTGCTACACGAGTGCCTCAGAACTACAGGTACATGGCCGCCCCGTAACAGATTTTGGAATGTGATGAGGGAATGGGTCTAAAGATGAATTGAAAGATACCACTCCTTTTTCTAAACAATATTTTATCTGCCTCAATGACATATCACTCAAACACCATGTGGTTTTCCTCCCACCTCTCTCACTGCTCCTGGGCTGGCTTGTTCTCTTCTCTCTGGCCATTGCGCATCCTCACTGCTCGATCTTTCTTTCCTCATTTAATGCTCTTTTCTCTCTGGGAAAACTCATCCACGTCCAGAGCTTCCCTTGCCAGTTATGCACCAATGAACTACACATTTAATGCAGCTCCATTCTCAGTTTGAGCTCCTGACCCATAGACCCAACTGCCTCCCTGACATCCAAGGCTGATTTCATCTCTTCTTCCCCAAACTGGTTCTCTTTCCAATGTTCCCACCTCAATGGCCAGCTTCACCATCCATCATCCCACTGGAACATCCGGAACTCAAGAACCATTTTTACTATCTGCTTCTCCATTATCTAACATGTCACCAAGTCCTGTAGATTCAATCTTTTAAATCTCTATGGAAACAATCCACTTTGCTCCATTTCCACTGCCACACCCTACACCAACCCACCATCATCTCTAGCCTGGACCACTACAGTAGCCTCCTAAGGAGTGGCTCCAAAACCTCTATTATTCCCCCTCCAAAACATTCTTGACATTGCAGCCAAAGTGATCATTTTAGAAGGAAGATTTGATCATGTCATCCCTGCGTAAAATACTTCAGAGACTTCTCACAGCTCTTAGAATAAAAACCAAAATCTGATCAAGCTTGTGCCCCCTCTTCAGCCTCATCTCAGACCACTCACCCCTCCACTGTCACAACTCCTGCACACAGACCTTTTTCTAGCTCCTCCAATACCCCAGGGCCTTCACACATGCTCCATCCTTCTTCCTGAGCATTCCTTTCCCTGCTCCCTTCGCTAAATCTATTTTCCTAATTAACTCCAGCTCCTTCACGCACCAGCTGAAATGTCACCCTAATTTATGTTGCTGTACTATATACACTCTCATAGACTCCTGTCCTTTTACTCTATAGGAAAAATCACGATTTGAAATCTTTGTATAATTACCTTACTGCCAACAAACAATATTTAGTGTCTCCCCCCCAAAAGTCTAAGCAATATGAAAGCAGGGACCAGGTCTCTTGCACACCATTTTAAACCCAGCTCTACACAATGTCTTATGCAAGGTAGATTTTCAAGTGCTCTTTTCTTGTTTCTTAGCATTCCACCACACAGAAGCTGACTCTCTACAACTCTCTTTTCTCACCACCATGCCCTGCACCTGCTTGAACACCCCTCCCTTAGTCTTTGTGCATATCCCTCAGGATCTGATTCAAAACCCTTCTTTCAGGAAGACTTCTATAAAGGACTCAGGCATTCATTCAGCATCCACTAACGTGAAGCACTAACACATTCAGTTTGTGTTACTAGAATAAAGTACATTTGTTGCTTGTAAACGTACTTCTTCAGATCTTTCAAAGAAAGCTCCCTGAGGGCAGGACCTATGCCACTCAACTGTAGCAGTCCCTTTCCCAACCCCTGCATTATAAGCACTCAACAAACATTATCTGTTGAACCAACTATTGCATTTGTATCAATTATCCAACTTCAGTGTGTTTTATTTTATGAGTCCAAAACATAAGAAGTAAAGCAATGTTCTCAGAAAAGTACTAGATTGGGATTCAAAACTCCTTTCCACCACCTACCAGCTGTGTGACCTTGGTCAAGACACTTTACCTCTCTGAGCCCAGGTTTCCTCTTCTGCAAATGTTTTGCCCCAGCCCATGGGTTTATCTTGAGTATCAATTCAAATGATGCCTGAGAACATATTTTGCAAACTGTGGAGGCTACAAAAGTAGCCTCATTTGCGTTTTGATTGTTAAAACAGAGCAGCATCGGGCCAAGCCCGCGGCGCACTCGGGAGAGTGCGGCGCTGGGAGTGCAGCAGCGCTGGGAGTGCAGCAGCGCTCCCGCCGCGGGTTCGGATCCTATATAGGGATGACCGGTGCGCTCCCAGCGCTCACTGGCTGAGCGCGGTGCGGCCGGGTTCAAAAAAGGACAAAAAAAAAAAAAAACAGAGCAGCATCGGGCCAAGCCCGCGGCGCACTCGGGAGAGTGCGGCGCTGGGAGTGCAGCAGCGCTCCCGCCGCGGGTTCGGATCCTATATAGGGATGACCGGTGCGCTCACAGCGCTCACTGGCTGAGCGCGGTGCGGCCGGTTTCAAAAAAGGACAAAAAAAAAAAAAAAACAGAGCAGCATCTCAAAATTTCTGTTAAGCAAGCCATTCAAATTGACTCGCCTCATTCATTACAAGGACAGTTACCAAATCACAGAGTCAGCAATATTCTATTTAGAAACATCTTTGTGAGGGACCATATTGCTATTTCTACATCCAGGCAACTGTGGGCTAGTCGGCATACACATGCACACGCTGGGCTGTCAGACTCTTCCTGTATTTAGGCCCCTCCCCAGGGGGCAAAGAAGTGGGGGAACCCCCACAACTCTGAAAATAATTCCCTCACAGCTCAGGAAATATCCTCCCCCCCCCCCTCTGTGAGGAAGAAAAGCCAGAAAGATAAAGACGCCCCAGTTCTTTCTCTCCTTAACCTTTCCCATTTTCACAAAAACTGCTTTATCTTCAGGCTTGAGGGGTAGAGAGAGATAAACGAAGAAGCTGTACATGCAAGAAAGACCTAGAATAAAGGCCTTCTATTTTTCACCTGTATGAATACCACTATGATGAACACTTTTGTGCATACATCTTACTCATATTCTTGATCATTTCCTTTTTTTTTTTAACAGGCTGCCCAACTCAGAGTTACTAAGGAGCACACAAACTCTCATCACTATTTTCACACAAATAGTAAGTGGACTCCTGCCACTGTCCAGTAAGGAAAAGAAAAACTGGCCGGTCTGGAAGCCACTTCTCTTGTGACCCCGACGTGAAATCCTTCTGAAAGTGATACAAGGAAACTCAATTCTGTTCCTATTATTTCTCAAAATACTGGTTAACATACCAAATATTCACACTAAAGAAGAAAAAAAAATCTGACAAGTCATCTTATCCATATACCATATAAAACATGTATTTTGAAATCTTTGTTTACAGGATTTTTATAAACTGTTAAATTATTCATGCAAGACACAAGAAACTGACTTAAAGATTTTTTTCCTTTTCCTTTATAACCTTACACAGCGTTGTGAGATGTATATTCTCTGTTACAAAAAAAACAAAAAAAAGAAAGAAACTGTAGTTCAATTAATTCCCCATCACATATGCTAATACAGAAATTTATAGCATGAAAATTTTTAATTATTTATGTTTGGCTTTGAAAAACAGTATAACCATTTGGTAATGGATTTTCTATCATAACTACATTCTACTTAAACCCGATTAAAATCAGCGTACAGAGCTTATCCAGAAATAAAGCCATGATTGATGGCTTTTTTAAACGCTTGCTTGTTTCGAGGCGTAGTTCTGAGGCCGTTTTCTGAGCTGTGGGGACCAGGAGGTGAGGAGGGGGCTACAGTGTTACACTGCAGGCCTGCAGCTGAATCCAGGTGTGGCCAAAGCAGTTTTTCCAAACTGTATGTTGTGGCCCTTTCATGGGTTATAAAATCAATTTTGTGGACAGGAACTTTTTTTTTAGAAAGCATACATACATCTCAGATAGTAAGAGTAAGCACTGATACAAAAAACCCTAATTTTAAGTTTGGGCATATGTACACACACATATAAATGTGTGTTAAGATACAACCTTTCTCTTTTACTGAAAGGTCTCAAGGAAAAAGCTTTAAATGCAATAGGCTTAAAGGGCAGGTCTACTGAATAAGGCTTCTTTGTGGCAAATACCAATTTGGATTCTTGTCAGGTGAACAATAAACTAACAGTTCTGATTAATGAAACACTCCAATTTAACTCTCATACATGGTAAAGCTGACAGCCATTTCCTAAGAAGTACTTTTCAAGAATATTTTAAAGTGCATTTATCTGTAATCTGTACTATATACAATAGTCCCTCCTTACACACGTTTTCACTTTCTGGCAGTCAACCACAGTCCAAAAATAGGTGAGGACAGTACAGGAAGACATTTTGAGAGAGAGAGATCAGTCACAGAACTTTTATTACAGTAGTTACAATCATTCTATTTTATTAGTTATTGTTAATCTCTTACTGCACCTAATTTATAAATTGAACTTGATCATCGGTATGTATGTATACGGAAAAAAATAGTATACATAGGGTTGGGTACTATCCTTGGTTTCAGGCATCCATTGGGGGTCTTGGAATGTATCCCCCGAGGATAAGGGGGGACTACTATATTTATGTTCTTTAAGTTTTCCAACTGAAATTATTTTCAATGTTGCATGCTACTGGAGGAGAGGGGATATTAAATGACTGGAGGTTGGGATAAGGATGCAAGTTGCAACTATTAAAACATCATGCAGCTGGTATCATTTTTGTGGTGAAAATGACAGATTATTTATCAGCCAGCAGGGTATGAAAAAATATCCAATACTTTTTCCCCTGAGTCCCCAACTCTAGTCAGTTCTCAGGGTAAGCCACCATTTTTCCTTTAAACCGGTGCTGTCCAATAAAATTTTCTGAGATGATGGAAATATTCCCTGTCTGCACTGTTCAATACAGTAGCTATTAGCCAAATGGGACAACTGAGCACTTGAAATGTGGCTGGCTAGCACAACTGAGAAACCGAGTTTTTAATTAATTTAAAACTAAACAGCTG